AGTACTGTACAAGTTAAGGAAAGGAGAAAAACTCCAATCTTCATACAAAAAAACCGGCAATGATAGACTAAGAAAAGAATATTACATGCCAGTGTAAATTTTTTTTAAATCTTTACATTATAGGTATATGAAATATTCAGGCAAACAAAAAGTTAATCCGTTATACTAAAATTGCATTTTTCTGGAATTACAAGGATGATATAACCTTGGAATGTCAATCAGTTAACTTTCCGCATTTTTAAAAAACTCCTTTTATTACTTATACTTTTAAATATTAGGTATTTATCGAGGGCAGGTATTTAACAAGGGCAGGTACAGTCAGTCCTATGTACTTGAATGTTCTGAGTAAACAAGATCACAAAGAAGAATCAAGGGAAAGGTATTCAATAAATTCTTAGGCCATTCATGGGAAAGACTCCCTAACAATCAAAGTTAGAAAAAACTGAATTTTTAAAATGCTACAGCAACCAATACAGTGATTACTAAAGATGGAAAACATCTGCCATTAGGATTAGAAAGAAAAGTATGCTTCTTTTACTACTCGTAGTTTTTTTTTGTTTTTGTTTTTCTGAGACAGACTCTCGCTCTATCCCCTAGGCTGGAATGCAATGGCGCAACCTAGGCTTACTGCAATCTCTGCCTCCCAGGTTCCAGTTTTCCTGCCTCACCTTCCTGAGTAGCTAGGATTACAGGCATGTGCCACCACGCCCAGCTAATCTTTGTATATTTAATAGAAACAGTGTTTCACCATGTTGGCCAGGCTAGTCTCGAACTCCTGACCTTGTGATCTGTCCGCCTTGGCCTCCCAAAGTGCTGGGATTACAGCCGTGAGCAACTGCACCCAGCCAACTTCTAGTTATTGTTCTAGTCTTTTCTGTCTACACAAGACATAAATGACCGAAAAGAAGTGGAAAAATCAAACTGTCAGTTACAGATAATATGTATGCCTATGTGGAAAACGCCAAACAATACATAAAACCTAGAATCTTGGCCGGGCACAGTGGCTCACGGCTGTAATCCCAGCACTTTGGGAGGCCGAGGCAGGTGGATCATGAAGTCAAGAGATGGAGATCATCTGGCCAACATGGTGAAACGCCGTCTCTACTAAAAATACAAAAAACTTAGCCAGGAGTGGTGGCGGGTGCCTGTAGTCCCAGCTACTTGGGAGGCTGAGCCAGAAGAATTGCTTGAACCCAGGAGGCAGAGGTTGCAGTGAGCTGAGATCGTGCCACTGCACTCCATCCATGCACTCCAGCTTGGCAACAGAGCAAAGCTCCATCTCAAAAAAAAAAAAAAAAAAACTAGAATGTTAAAGAATGTTGAACAATACTTCTAGTAAAATATAGTATACAAAGATCAAGTGACTTTATTTATTTTTGAGGCAGAGTCTCACTCTGTCACCCAGGCCGGAATGCAGTGGCACAATCTCTGCTCACCGCAACCTCCGCCTCCCAGGTTCAAGCGATTCTGCTGCCTTAGCCTCCTGAGTAGGTGGGATTATAGGCACTCGCCACCATGTCCAGCTAATTTTGTATTTTTAGTAGAGATGGGGTTTCACCATGTTGGTCAGCTGGTCTCAAACTCCTGACCTCATGATCCACCCACCTCGGCCTCCGAAACTGATGAGATTACAGAAGTGAGCCACCATGCCCAGCTCAAGTGACTATATATTGACAATCAGAATCAGCTTCTGAAGCTAGGCAATGTCTAGGCTAGGGTATCATTTCTTAGTGATACATCACTACTAGTCCAAGCACCAGGATGAGGCCAACCTGCAGTATTGACCTCACCCATGACCCACAAGTGCTCATCCTCAGACAACTGTGAAAAAGTTTAGGGAGAACCTATAGGTCTTATTTGAGACAATCAGAATGGCATCTAAGGACAGTCTGTGAGGTGACAGAAGTGACACAAGGCAATTAAGACTAATCTGCATCTTTTGCGTCACTGGCAACAGTTAAAGGCAACAAAGATGGGCTAAATAATAACACTCATACCACAGGAGAACGACTCTAAAACCCGTTCCTCTCCATAAGAAAACATAACATGAAAATGCACAGACCTCCTCGATTCAGCGTTTCTTTTTTTTTTTTGTTAGACAAGGCCTCACTCTGTCACCCAGGTTGAAGTCCAATGGCGCGATCACAGCTCACTGCAGCCTTGACCTCCCTGGGCTCAGTGAGACTCCTACCTCAGCCTCCTGAGTAGGTAGGATTACAGGCACGTGCCCATCACACCAGCCTAATCTTTGTATTTTTTGTAGAGATGGGGTTTCACCATGTTTGCCCAGGCTGGTCTTGAACTCCTGAGCCCAAGTGATCTGCCCAACTTGGCCTCCCAAAGTGCTGGGATTACAGGCATAAGCCATGACACCCAGCCGATTCAGGATTGGCAAACTTACCTGAAGCTTTGGATTACCATTACACTGGTTGGATTAAGAACCACAGAATGAGTCACCAAGCAACAAGAGCCTTAATGGCTGTACGTGATATAACAGAAATATTTAAATTTGTACCACTCAGACTGGAATCTGGTTATGCAGCTTGTATGTGTGTGTATCCCAGGGCCACATTCAGGAAGTGCCAGTGATGGTATCAAGCACAGCAGAATATCATGACCATCCATGTTCACAGGAGTTCCTCTGTTTTCATAGCACATGGGCAAAATGAAAATCCACAAATGGGTTATACTGCCAATCACAGCAGTTAATTGAGTCAGGCATGTATGATTGCTGTGCCAAACGGTGGCATCAAAGACAACATTCGTGGTTCCCACCACCTCTCTGCACTGCCTGATAGTTACAGGAGTTCCCACCTCTCCAGGTGAAGGGTTATGGGTCTCCCTCCATGGCCATGAAATCACAGTATCTTAAGTTACTTCTGTTATTTCAACCTTTCTCCACTCAGACCCTTCTTCAACCCTGACCATTTATCTGAGATCAAGTGTGAAAACAGGAAAAGAGTATTTTTACATTGTAAAGCTGTATCATACCCTTTACCTTGGCCAGTGTGACCCACTATAGGTGGACCATGTCTAAGACCATGACAAACCAAAAAACAGAGTCTATACTGTTAGGACTGTCTGAATCCTGAAGACCCACTTTAGGTCAGTAGTAACCCAGAGGATGTAGCAACTAGACTAGAGTGGTGTGGAGAAAGACATACCATGCCAGGGATGAGCAGAGGGGTACGAGAAATAGTTCTATAGGCCGGGTGCAATGGCTCACACCTGTAATCCCAGCACTTTGGGAGGCCGAGGCAGGCAGGCCACCTGAGGTCGAGAGTTCAAGACCAGACTGACCAACACGGTACTGTATTTTTGTACTACAAATACAAAATTAGCCAGGCATGGTGGGGCATGCCTGTAATCATAGCTACTCAGGAGTCTGAGGCAGGAGAATCGCTTGAACTCAGAAGGCAGAGGTTGTAGTAAGCCAAGATCACACCATTGCACTCCAGCCTGGGCAACAAGAGCAAAACTTGTTCTCAAAAAAAAAAGATTTAAAATAAAAATTAGTTCTATAGAACCACCTAGAAAGCCATATCTCTGTCAGGTTTCAGTAAACAGAAAAGCAATTCTGATATTCCATACATGCTGTTTCTCATTAGTGTGAATGCACCTCATTCACTAAAGGTTGAAGAATAACATAAAAAAATACTTCCCAACATTTATTACCTTCATGAAGTTTTTCTCCACTGTGAAATTGCAGGTGAACACCAAAGTATTTGGCAAGAATACTTCTGAACGTATCTTATATCCAAAGGGTTTATCTCCATTGCAAGAACCCAAGGAAACATTGAAAGCTTTCTGTTTCTAACACTGTACAGCTTCAGGGTGAACTCTTACATAATGCATTGTCAGGAGATTCCAACGGTTCTCCCAGATGCCTTTAACTTTATGGAGCATCTTCAGAGTGTAAGTTCTTTCCTATCTTTGAAGTGAACAGGAACAAATGAGCACTTTTGACACAATGCTTACACTGATAAGTTTTCTCACCAGTATGAATTACAATGTGACTATTAAGGCACATGGACCTCCAAAAGGATTTTCCTCATTCCTTACATAAAATAGGTTTCTCGGCCAGGCGTGGTGGCTCACACCTGTAATCCTAGCACTTTGGGAGGCGAAGGCAGGCAGATTACTTGAGGTCAGAAGTTTGATACCAGCCTGGCCAAAATGGTGAAACCCCATTTCTACTAAAAATGCAAAAAATTAGCCAGGTGCAGTGGGCACACCTGTAATCCCAGCTACTTGGGACGCTGAGGTAGGAGAATCACTTGAACCCAGGGGGCAGAAGTTGCAATGAGCCAAGATTGCATCATTGCACTCCAGCCTGGGCTATGGAGCAAGATTTCATCTCAAAAAAGGGGGTTTCTCTCCAGGGTGTTTTTACATGTTCAATAAGATGAGAAGAATACCAGGTGCAGTGGCTCACGCCTGTAATCCCAGCATGTTAGGAGGTCAAAGCTGGTGATCACTTGAGGTCAGGAGTTAGAGACCAGCTTGGCCAACAGGGTGAAACCCTATCTCTACCAAAAATATAATAAATCAGGAGCCAGGCACAGTGGCTCATGCCTGTAATCCCAGCACTTTGGGAGGCTGAAGTGGGTGGATCACAAGGTCAGGAGATTGGGACCATCCTGGCCAACATGGTGAAACCCTGTCTCTACTAAAATACAATAAATTAGCTGGGCGTGGTGGCGCACAACGGTAGTCCCAGCTACTTAAGGAGGCTTACGCGGGGGAATCGCTTGAACCTGGGAGGCAGAGGTTGCAGTAAGCTGAGATGGTGTCACTATACTCCAGCCTGACAACAAAGTGAGGCTCCATCTCAAAACAAAACAAAAAAAATAATTAGCCAGGTGTGGTGGCACATGCCTATAATCCCAGCTACTCGGGAGGCTGAGGCAGAATCGCTTGAATCTGGGAGGCAGAGGTTGCAGTAAGCCAAGGTCATGCCACTGTACTCCAGCCTGGGCGACAGGGTGAAACTCCTTCTCCAAAAAAAAAAAAAAAAAAAAAAAACTGTGTTTTCCCACATTCCTTACATTTACAGGGTTTCTCTCCAGTGGGACTTTGTACAAATCCAGAAAGATTCAAGAGTTTAGGCTTTCTCACATTCCTTACATTGATAGTGAAGTCTCTCCTGTGAATTTTTACATATTCAGTTAGGCTTGAGGAAACAAAGTTTTTCCACATTTTTCACATCCGTAGGGCTTCTCTCTAGTGTGAGGTTTCAAACGTGCAATACGAGCTGATAAAGAAGCAAAGGCTTTCCACATTGGTCACATTCAAATGGTTTCTATCCCATATGAGTTCTTAAATGTTGAATACGTCCTGAGGATGTACAGAAGGCCTTCCCACATTCCTTACATTCATAAGGTTTCTCTCCAGTGTGAATTTGCACATGATTAGTAAGATCTGAATGAAAAGTGAAGGCTTTCCCACAGTCCTTACGTTTATAGTTTTATTTCAGTGTGAGTTTGTAAGCAATCATTAAAGCACAAGGAATTTCAAAAGGATTTTCCACATGTGTTACACTCAGAAGTCTTCTCTGCAGCATGAGTTTTTAAGTGTTGAGTTAGTACACAAGACCTACTGTAAGCTTTTTCACATTTATTACATTTATAGGGTTTATATCCAGTGTGAGTTCTTAAATGATAAGTTAGACTTGAGGAGGCAACAAAGGCTTTCCCACACTCCTTATGTTCATAGGGCCTGTCTCCAGTGTGTGTTCGTAAATGTTTGTTAAGATCTGAGCATTCCGTGAAGGCTTTTCCACATTTCTTACATCCATAGGGCTTCTTCCCACTGTGTCTTCGTAAATGTCTAGTCAGGTATGAGCGCTCAGTGAAGGCCTTCCCACATTTCATACATTCATAGGGTTTCTCTTCACTGTGCGTTCGTAAATGTTTGGTAAGATATGAGCACTTAGTGAAAGTTTTCCCACATTCCTTACATTGATACGGTCGCTCTTCTGTGTGAGTCCGCATGTGAATATGAAGACAGGCAGAAAAGATAAATGGTTTCCCACATTTGTAACACTTAAAGGGCTTCTCTCCAGTGTGAGTTCTCAAATGAGCAAAAAGAGATGAGAAAGAAACAAAGACTTTCCCACACTGGTCACAATCAAAGAGTTTCTGTCCTGTGTTACTTCTTATATCTTCAATAATGCCTGAGGATGTACCAAAGGCCTTCACACATTTCTTATGCTCATATGGCTTCCCTCCCTTATGAGTTCTCAAATGTCCAAAAAGAGACGGGTAAGAAATAAAGGCTTTCCCACAATGGTCACATTTAAGGGTTTTCTCTACAGTGTGACATCTTATATGTTCAACAAGGCCTGCAGATGTACGAAAGGCTTTACCACATTCCTTACACCCATAGGGCATCTCTCCAGTGTGAGTTCGTACATGTTCAAGAAAGCCTGACCGCACAGTGAAGGTTTTCCCACAGTGCTTACATTTATAAGGTTTTATCCCAAAGTGGGTTTGCATGTGATTATTAAGGTGGGTAGAGCATCTAAAATATTTTCCACATTCCTTACATTCATAGGGGTTTTTAATAACGTGTGTTTCAACATTTACAGCATGGCTTGTGGAGTGAGTAAATGCTTCCCCACATTGCTTCCATTCATAGAGTTTTTCTCCACTCTGAGTTTTCCTGTGCACTTCAAGGTGTGACTGATGAACAAAGACTTTCCCATAGTCGATGCATTCAAAGGATTTATCTTGTGTGCACTTTCTTTGGACCTGAACATTTAAAATCAGGCTGAAAGATTTTCCACACTTACTGAACACAGAAACTTTCCTTATGGTAGAGGTTTTATTGTATAGAGAAAGGAGGTCTTTTGCATACTGAATACATTCAGACATGTTTTCTCTATTTTGAGTACTCATATTTGTCTTAAGGCATGAATGTTTACAGAAGACTTCTCCACATTGCTTACAGTCATAGAGTTCCTCTCCATTTTGGTTTCTTGCCTGTTAATACAGGAATGAATAATGAAGGAAGCATTTTAGCAAACTTATTAATAGATATCACTCATCTAAGAAACATTATGGGCCAGGCACAGTGGCTCATGCCTGTAATCCCAGCACTTTGGGAGACCAAAGTGGGCAGATCATGAGGTCAAGAGATCAAGACCATCCTGGCCAACATGGTGAAATCCTGTCTCTACTAAAAAATACAAAAATTAGCGGGGTGTGGTGGCGCACACCTGTAGCCCCAGCTACTAAGGAGGCTGAGGCAGAACTGCTTGAACCCAGGAGGCAGAGATTGCGCCACTGCACTCCAGCCTGGCGCCTGGCAACAGAGCAAGACTCTGTCTCATAAAAACAAAAAAAATTATGATCATTATTTTTGCCACTGTTATAACATGCATATAGTTCCTACCCTTTGGATTTCTTTCAACTTGAACAATGGAATCCTACTATAAGAATCCTATGCCATCTGCTCTAATCTTGGAAAGATTCCTATAGCTTTTCATGAAGTTATTTTAAAAACTCAAATGTCTAGTTATACATGTTGGAATGAGCATTCATGGGAAATCTTAAGTACCAAGCTTCACACTAGGTATGGGCTATCTCTCCAGATATTTCTCCCTGTTGGGTGAGTGCCACTTCTCTCAACTATCTATCATTTCCTTCTTTTCTTTTCTTTCTTTTTTTTTTTTTTGAGACAGAGTCTCGCTCTGTCATGCAGGCTGGAGTGCAGTGGTGCCCTGTCAGCTCACTGAAACCTCCGCCTCCCAAGTTCAAGCAATTCTTCTGCCTCAGCCTCCTGAATAGTTGGGACTACAGGCATGCCCCACTGCACCCAACTAATTTTTGTATTTTTACTAGAGACAAGGTTTCACCATATTGGCCAAGCTGGTCTTGAACTCCTGACCTCATAATCCACCCACCTTAGCCTCCCAAAGTGCTGGAATTACAGGCGTGAGCCACCCCGCCCAGCCATTTCTGCTGATTTCTACAATGCAATGTCAGTCTTCTCTGAATGTGAAAAATAAGAAAGTTATTTTGTTAATCTTACCAACTGAATCCCATTTAATGTTTTTAAACAAAAATTATCTTGCCAAAGGACTGGCCCATTCATTTTCAGGCACATTTTCCATTCTGAAGTAAAAGAGAAAAATATATATGAGAGTTTACACACAAAATGGTAGGTTAAATAAAAAGCACAGATTTGAGCAATTTACATATACCTAAAATTTGGCTATCATATGGGGTCAAGTTTTAGTAATTTTTAAAACAACCTGTTCTATGAAAATTAAACATAATGATGAACAGAAACAGTACTATCGGGGGGAAAAAAAGTAGGAAAAATTGGAACAAAAGCATATAATAAAACCATAAACTTAAAGAAGTTAGGTCATTTATTATATAATAGGCAAGTCTGGATAGATGCAAAGTAACAGAGAATGAAAAATTGAGAAACCCCAAAACATCCAAATCCAGTGGACTCAGACTTCTGATTCAAAGGGCATCTTATAAAACTTCATTATGCTTCCAAACATACTGGGAACTTCTCATGGACCAGGGCTGTTCTTCACAAACACTCACCTTGGAGAACTCTTGGCAATGTGCTCAACTCTTCCTCTTCCTCCATCCAAGAGATCAGACTGGGTTTGAAAAGCTGGTAACCTGTACACAGGGAAAGATACACCAGTGGAAAAGGCTCATGCAAGAAATGGCAAACTTTTCCATAAAACAGGGACTATGTTTCTAATTAAGGCAATGAAAAGTACCTAAATTGCATACATCCCTTCTCTCTGTTCTCCAAAGACAGTGGTTATCTCTGACTTCTGAAATTCACATTCAAGCTTAACCCATTTCCTGTTTGTCCCAAGAAATAAGCACTGGCAGTGAGCTGTGCTTTTTCTTTCTAAACAGGAAATGTTCAATTCAAATTTTAAAAACCACTAAAACCTTTATTAAAGTAGGAAATGGAAACTCAAAGAGAGATCTTGATTCGCTTGAGAAAACTACCATACCAGTAGTTCTCAACTTTGAAGTGAATTACTCATCTGAAGACAAGGCCCCAACAGCAGACTTTTTGATTTAGTACAGCAAATGTGGAGTCTGAGAATGTACACAATTGTAAGAGAGTGGTGGTGATGCTATTGATGCAAACAAACATACAAGATTCAAACCCATTAGTATAAGAATTGCATGTTATTTCCTATTTTATTCATTAAAATTTTTTTTTCAATGTGTATACATCCCACTGTATTCAGATTTGACATCACTAATCCTAGAACACAATAAGTACATAATTTGTATCTTGTTCCAGAGGAGGCTACAAGGGATGATGCCATACTTACCTACTGAGGACAGGTTCTTGTAGTTCTCCAGCATCACATCACGGTACAGGTTTCTCTTTGTTGGGTCCAGTAAAGTCCACTCTTCCTGGGTGAACTCCACAGCTACACTGTCAAAGGTTACCAGATCCTAAACCATCAGACACATGCTGGTTTAAGCCAAGTAACATGTCGACCAATGTTGGCTGAAGAATGAGGAAAGGGGACCCAATGCCTATACAGGGTACTGAGGGCTCCCACTATCTACACCCCAAGGTTCAATGGTTGTAGGAACTCTTCTATCCACATTCACTCACTGTCAATTTCCTCCAGTAACATGGCTGTAACAGCACCTCTTACACGTGAACTTATCAACCACAACTAGACTGGGAGCTCTTCTCCTTTCCTCTCTACTGCAGTACACACCAGAGCACACAAGAAACATTTGATAAATGATGATATGAATAAATTCCTTAAAAAAAGAATGCTTTCATACCCCGTACCATCTGTCCTGGCACCCAGAAAAAAAAATATGCAGTTGGCACTGGGAAAATGAACATTAATTCATAACTACAAAAATACTCAGATAATTTTCAGGGTAATGCTTCACCAATGTGAGAGGTATGACTTTCTGGGGAAAATGTGACTAGAGTCTGTATTTGCTTTAAGGAACAATAGAGAGAAGTCTACCTACAAGAAAATGTGTCCTCCTCATTGAGATCATTACTCCATTTTTTTTTTTTTTTTTTAGAAGGACAGTTTGACACTAAATTTTTGGATGTCCCCAAATTCGTCATTATCAGAGTATCTCTCCAGAGACATTGCTCCCTCTTTTTTCTTTTTTTTTTTTTGAGTCGGAGTTTCACTCTTGTTGCCCAGGCTGGAGTGCAATGGTACGATCTTGGCTCACCGCAACCTCCACCTCCCAGGTTCAAGCACTTCTCCTGCCTCAGCCTCCTGAGTAGCTGTGATTACCGGCATGCGCCACCACACCTGGCTAATTTTGTAGTTTTAGTAGAGACGGGGTTTCTCCATGTTGATCAGGCTGGTCTTGAACTCTCGATCTCAAGTAATTCACCTGCCTTGGCCTCACAAAGTGCTGGGATAACAGGCATGAGCCATTGCACCCAGTCTGACATTGTTCCCTCTTGAGTGAATGCTATTTCTCTCAATTGTCTTTTGTGCTTATTTTCTTCATTGGAAGTCCCAATATTCTCTGAATGTGAAAAATAAGAAATACACTTTCTTAACATTACCGTTTGTATCCCATTCGAAGTTTGTATTTTACAAAAATCCTGCTGCACTGCTGAAACATTGGTGTGAAGAAGTTTTATTGCCCATTCTGAAATTAAACAAAAAAAAAAAATGAAGATAAAAAAATAAAAAAAAAAAAAAAAAAAAGAAAGAAAGAAAAAAGGTAAAATGAAAGAGTTAAAAATGATAGGCCTCATTCACATTTGTTTTCAAAATAAACATAAGAAAAGAAAGCCAAATTTGAACATTTAGACTATGTCAAAAATTTGGCAATGATAAGAATAAAGAGTCAAAATTTTAGCTAATTTGCTACAAATTGACTAGTTTAAAACTAACGTTAAACAGAAATAATGTTATCAGAAAAGTAGGAAAAATCTGGATCAAGAACATACTTCAAAGCAAAGAACTTGAAAAATAAACAGAATATATAGTTTCAAGAGATCATAGAAAGTTGGAGTAGATGGAAATTTAAAGAGTATCAGAAATGGAATATTTTCTATAACTTCTGAGTTAAATGGCCTCAACCTTGTGAGACAAGGTGCATCTTAAAAGTTTCCTCATGGCCGGGCGCGGTGGCTCACGCCTGTAATCCCAGCACTTTGGGGGGCCGAGGCGGGTGGATCACAAGGTCAAGAGATCGAGACCATCCTGGTCAACATGGTGAAGCCCTGTCTCTACTAAAAATACAAAAAATTAGCTGGGCATGGTGGCGCATGCCTGTAATCCCAGCTACTCAGGAGGCTGAGGCAGGAGAATTGCCTGAATCCAGGAGGTGGAGGTTGCGGTGAGCCGAGATCGCGCCATTGCACTCCAGCCTGGGTAACAAGAGCGAAACTCCGTCTCAAAAAAAAAAAAAAAAAAAGTTTCCTCATTATGATGAGGTTTAGATGTTAGTTCCCTCCAAATCTCATATGGAAATGTAACAGCAAATATTTGGGGAGGGGCCTGGTAGGAGGTATTTGGATCATGGGGGCAGATCCTTCATGAATGGCTTACTGACATCCTCGGAGTAACGGTGAGTTCTTGTTCTGAGTTCATGTGAGAACTGGTAGTTTAAAATAGGAGTCTCCAACTCTGAGGCCATGGACCAGAGCTGGGCTGCACCACAGGAGGTGAGTGGCAGGAGAGCAAGTGAAGCCTTACCTATATTTATAGCTACTCCCCATCCGGCACTGCCTCCTGAGCTCTGCCTCTTGTCAGATCAGCAGCAGCATTAGATTCTCATAGAAGAGCAAACTCTATCATGAACTGTGCATGAGAGAGATTTAGCTTGCGTGCTCCTCGTGAGAATCTAATGCCTGATGATCTGTCACTGCCTTCCCTCACCCCCAGATCCCCAAATGAGACCATCCAGTTACAGGAAATCAAGCTCAGGGTTCCCACTGATTCTACCTTATGGTGAGTTGTATAATTACTTCATTATATATTACAACGCAATAATAATAGAAATAAAGTCCACAAAAATGTAAGGCACCTGAATCATCCTGAAACCATGCCCCTGCTACCCAGGAATTTTCTGTGAAAAAATTTGTCTTCCACGAAACTGGTCCCTGATGCCAAAAAGGTTGGGGACTGCTAGCTTAAAAGGCTGTGACACCACCCCCAACTTCTTTTTTACTCCCTTTCTCATCATGTAATTTGCCTGCTCCCCCTTTGCCTCTGCCATGATTCTAAGGCTTCTGATGCTCTCACCTGAAGCAGATGTCAGCACCATGCCTTCTGTAGAGCCTGCACAACTGTGAGCCAAAATAAACCTATTTTCTTTATAAATTACCCAGTCTCGGGTATTTCTTTCTTGCAACACAAGAACAGACTAACACAGCTTCCAAACATACTGAACTTCTCACTAACCAAGATGGTTCTTCACAAATACCCACCCTGGAGAAGTCCTTGCTGCAATGTCCTCAATTCTTCTTCTTCTTCCAACCAAGAGATCAGACTGGGTTTAAGGAGCTGAAATCCTTTACATGAATAATGATACATTAATGGAAGAGGCTCAGGCCAGGCAAGGGGGCTCACGCCTGTACTCCCAGCATTTTGGGAGGTCAAGGCGGGTGGATCAGGTCAGGAGTTCGAGACTAGCCTGCCTAACATGGTGAAACCTCATCTCTACTACAAATACAAAAATTAGTCGGGAGTGGTGGCATGTGCCTGTAATCCCAGCTACTTGGGAGGCTAAGGTAGGAGAATCACTTGCGCCCGGGAAGTGGAGGTTGCAGTGAGCCGAGATCATACCACTGCACTCCAGCCTGGGCAACAAGAGCAAAACTCCGGCCGGAAGATGGCGGTGGCACAGAGTTGTCGCTACTGGAGAAGTCCCTGGGACTGAGTAAGGGGAATAAATACAGTGCTCAGGGCGAGCGACAGATTCCAGTTCTTCAGACAAACAATGGTCCAAGTCTAACGGGATTGACTACTATAGCAGCTCATCTAGTCAAGCAAGCCAACAAAGAATATTTGCTGGGGAGTACTGCAGAAGAAAAAGCAATCGTTCAGCAATGGTTAGAATACGGGGTCACTCGAGTAGATGGACACTCCAGTAAAAATGATATCCATACACTGTTGAAGGATCTTAATTCATACCTTGAAGATAAAGTCTACCTTACAGGATATAACTTTACCTTAGCAGATATCCTATTGTATTATGGACTTCATCGCTTTATAGTTGACCTGACAGTTCAAGAAAAGGAGAAATATCTTAATGTGTCTCACTGGTTTTGTCACATTCAGCATTATCCAGGCATCAGGCAACATCTGTCTAGTGTTGTCTTCATCAAGAACAGACTATATACTAATTCCCACTAGAAGCTGTCCATGCCATACAGAAGATCTGTTAAAAATGTTTTAAATGGAAAATGTATTCTGGACCACAGGACTAATGTAAATTAATATACAGTCATTCATTATTTGTTGAAGTTGATAGAATTTTTAAAGTCTAAACTTGGGTCTGAATGTTTTATTTGTTCTTTAGTTGAAGTTTTGCAATTTTTTTGTCACAATTCAACTGCTGTTCAACAAGTTGAGATCAAGTTTTAAATTAACCTTGTTTTTATTAGATAAAATTTATTTCAATAAAAGTTGCAAATCAGGGGCTTAAAAAAAAAAAAAACAGGTGGTCCTTTCAATGGTTGACATATTTGGCTATTTATTAACCTCTCTTTCATATTCTGAAATTCATTTTTCCCTTATGGATATTTATGGTAGTTTGTCAAGAACTGTGATAAATTGTGCCAAGGAAACAGAAGGGGAAGACAGATAGATTTATTTTTAAATATTTACGTGAGCTAGTAAATGTGATTGAAAAAAATTTAAAAAAAAAATAAAGAGCAAAACTCCATCTCAAAAAAATTAAAAAATTAATGGAAGAGGCTCATGCAAGAGATGATAAACCTATTAATCAGGAACTACATTTCTAGAGAAAGCAGTGAAATTATTTCAAATAGACTAAAACTGAAAATATCTCTTCTGTGCACACAAAAATTGGCTATCTCTGACCTCTGAAAAGCAAATTCATGCATATGTACACATCTACAAAGCAATAACCTTGTAGTCACAGAAATAAGGTATGTTGTCAAACTCTTGAACAAAGAAAAAAAAAGAAAGTGAAACAAAGAGACCCTTGTATACTTGGAAAATAAAACTACACCAGTGATTCTTAATATTATAGTGCATCACATTCATGTGGAAGGACACTTAAAACACAGATGACAATCCAAGTGGACAGGTTCTGATTCAGTAGGTCAAAGGCAGAGATTAAGACTGTACATTTCTGAGGGAGTAACAGTGATACTGTTGAAACTGGACCACATTTTGAAAACCATCAGAGTAATTAAGACCTATAGGGCAGGGACGGTGTCTCTGTTATATTCAGTGTTGACAGAAAGAATTCTGTAACACAGTAAGTACACAATGTATATCTCTTCCATAAGAGGCTGCATAAAATGATGGCAGTCTTACCAACTTTGGCCAGGTTCTCATAATTCTCCAGCATCACATCTCTGTAAAAGTTTCTCTGAAGTGGGTCCAATAAAGTCCACTCCTCGTGGGTGAAGTCCACACTTACATCCTCAAAGGTCACCAAGTCCTAAACCATCACACACATGCTGACTTATGCCAAGTAACACATCGACCAATGTTCACTGAAGAATCAGTTAACAGACCCCAATGCCTATAAAGAGTTGTGAGGTCTCTCATTATCTACCCAAGGCTCAACAATTCCAGGTAAATCCCAACTATTCCTCTCTCTATCCTTGCTCATTCACTACTTATCAATTCCAGCTGTATGGCTTTAATGGTACATCTCAAACATGAACTTCTCATCACAAGCAGATTGTGTGCACTTTCTCACCGTATTTCTCTCTATTGAAAATTACCCCAGGCTGGGCATGGTGGCTCATGCCTATAATCCCAGAACTTTGGGAGGCCAAGGCAGGCGGATCATGAGGTCAGGGGATTGAGACCATCATTGCCAACATGGTGAAACTCCATCTCAACTAAAATACAAAAAAAATTAGCCGGGCATGGTGGTGCACACCTGTAGTCCCATCTACTCAGGAGGCTGAGTCAGGGGAATCACTTGAACCCAAGAGGCAGAGGTTGCAGTGAGCCAAGATTGTGCCACTGCATTCCAGTCTGGTGACACAGCAAGACTCTATCTCGAAAAAAAAAAATACCCCAGAGTACACTGCATCATATACTTGATAAATGGTGATAAATGTCCGGGCACGGTGGCTCACTCCTGTAATCCCAGCACTTTGGGTGGCTGAGGCAGGCAGATCACCTGAGGTCGGGAGTTCGAGACCAGCCTG